CAGCACGGAACGAATAGAAAAAGCCTTTATTGGCAGAATGGCTTTGATTCACAATCTGTCTGGCCAAGTGGGAAAACTACAAACCAAAGGGACTTAGTAAAAGATATGACCTCACTTGTATTGTACCGCCTGTTGATACTTAACACTAGATTATCCAGCTATTATTGGGGTCAAGGAGTGCCTCATCCAGTTGCATAGTTTTCTCTGGAAGGTAAGATTTATCGTGTCGCTAAGCATCTCCCTAAAGTATCCCACACCTGTTCGATAGAATTTAAATATACGGAGTTATGCTGGCTAATCCTTTCTCTGGATATCTTCCCCGTTGTAGGAGCTCCTCAACATTATGAGTCCAAGTGGTCGTGTATTTTCATCCATTATGCATTTTCAAAAACAAAGTCCGGACCAATAGCATCCCAGAAAAGACGCACGAGGGGGACGATGGTTTCTTCACAGTAACGATCTCCGTTAAGTGAAACTCTGTCGAAATTGCGTAGCATTCACTCATTACAATGCTTACCCATACAAGCACGCCAGGACCAACCCAGTGGTTTCTTCTCTGATATGAATAGGATGAAAGTGTGTGCCTTCCTCTCTCAGTATCAGCTGAAATTGAGTATTGTTGTCAAGAAGGTGACTCCAGTATCCATTCTTAAATGTTCTTTACACCTTTGTAAATGGTGCCGCCGGGTTGCTGTCAATGGTATGCAGCGCTCAGGATGGCGGATGAATAGGCCACCTTTATGAAGCCGTCTGGCCATAGTAAACACACCTAAACACTAAAGTAAACACGTCTGGCTAAGACTTTAGAGGTTGTATTCCTCCATCGGGGAAATCGAACCGTTTGTTGCCGCTCTTCCACGACAACATCTGTTGATTCCATTTTTATAGGAATTTTGGAGAAGTGAAGCTTCATTGTGGACAGTCCATTTTTAGATATTGTCAGTGAATTACATGTCCAAACATCAACGGTTTTGATTGTGATGCCTTTTAGAAATCTGGCTTTTGTCGGCAGGTGATATATTAAAGGAAATAACAACAATGCAATTAAAACACTGGAAGCATTTACAAGATTGAGAATAGTAATAAACAAAAATCAACATTAGAATTTCACAATAGTTGAAATATGTACAAATCGTACAAAAGGTAATGCAATAGTACAGTGCGATATCAAAAAGAAAGATATCTACAGGAGAACGACAACTTCACGTAAAGCTGTTGAATGTGCTGAGGGATATTTACAGGGGCATTATTGTGTGGTTAATATTCGCCGTGAGCTAGCATCTGCTTCGTTTTCCGTGCTGTTGTACAAATGGATTGAGGTAAGACTTAGCTGGTGATTGGGGAGAGAGGTTCTGTGGGTCACTGTAGAAGTCTTTGGCAAGCATTTAAGTTTGACATATCCACACGGTCAAACGTTTCCTCATCGTTTGTTAGAAAGATGCTAATTCTTCACCAACTGTTCGAAAAAGTTTCGTTTTCGGTGCTGTTGTACAAATGGATTGAGGTAAGACTTAGCTAGTGATTGGGAAGAGAGGTTCTGTGGGTCACTGTAGAAGTCTTTGGTAAGCATTTAAGTTTGACACATCACACGGTCAAACTTTTCCTCATCGTTTGTTAGAAAGATGCTAATTCTTCACCAGCTGCTCGAAAAAGTTATAATAAAGGTTTTTTTTTTTGTTTGTTTTTCATTAGCTTAAAATTTTTTTTTTTTTTTTTTTTACTTTTTATCTTTATTCTATATGAGCAGATGTCATGTTTATTTAAAGAATCTTAGATATTATATTTAGAATTTAATTTTTTCTTTAAATTTCATGTGAAATTTTTGATAATATGGAACGAAGAAACCATTCCCCACAGAACTGCCGGCTGGAAAGATGCTGCTCTTTAAAAGCAGGCAAATGCAATATCTCATTTCATAAAGAAGACGAAGACTACTTCGGACGTAAATGATATTTACATTAAATCTGCATCAACACTGATTACAAAAGAACAAACATCATCTGGCCAAAGAACATCAGCTACATTGGATGAAGTTATTGAAAGGACTGATGAAACTCCAAAGGAAGGGAATGATGATCCAAGCATGGAATTAAATTAATTGGAAGTTCATGATTATCCAGATAATTAGATGGAAGAGACTGGCATAAATGAAAATTCCTTTCTTCAATATTCATTTTGATGATCCTGCAAAATAGCCAACTCTTAGCGATAAAGTGAGAATGACTTGTCTGAAATGGGGGCCTACTCAAAAGAAAGGCTTAATGTATCCAAAAAGTAATAATGGACTAAAGTTTAGTGATACATATTATAACAGAAAAATGGAAAACGAAGAATCAGTTCCCCGTACATGGCTATTATTTTCCATTAGTAAAAATTCTGTTTTTTACTTCTGATGCAAGACATTTTCACTGATTGACATTAGTAGACTCGTAAAAAGCTATAATTATTAGATAAATGTATCTAAAGCCTTGCATAGGCATTAGACTAGTAGAGCACATATGAAATATTTCTTAAAATGGAAAGAGCTTGAGAAAAATGTGAAAAAGAAAACAATTGATTTCCAAACACAAGAGATGTATCCAAATGAAACAAAAACATTGGTCTAGTGTATTAGGAAAACTGATTGAAGTCACAAAATTTCTTGGCAGTCAGAATTTAGCCTTTCGAGGCTCATCTGATGAGCTGTACATAGAAGTAACATCAATTACAAAAGTATTATTGAGAAAGCCAAAGAACTTAGAGAAGAAATGGTTGGTGAGCCACAGTTTAAAACTATTGAAGAAATCCAACAAAGTAAAATGTCACTTCGAACCTCCTCAACCTCCAGAAGACAAGTTTAGAATAAATGTCTTTTTTAGAATTTTGGATATTGCTTTGACATCATTAAATAAAAAATTTCATGTAATGAAAAATCACTGCAATAATTTTAGTTTCCTGAGTAATTTATAAGAAATCATTAATGCAAATTTTAAAATAAAATGCAGTAAATTGGAAAAATTGTTACAGTGGGATGACAATAAAGATATTAACGCATAAGACCTTTATGAGGAAATAGGTAGCTTGGAATGACATTTTTACAGTTGGTATGAATGACCTATTCAATAATCTGAACTTAATTGTGTCAAAGAATTTATGCTTCCAGAACTTGAAGATCATATTGAGAACACTACTTAGCATTTTTGTTAGTGTTGCTAGAAGCGAAAGATCATTCTCCAAATTAAAATTGATGAAGACATATTTACAGTCAAGTATATCGCAGGAAAGACTCATAAATCTAGCTCTGATTGCCACTGAAAATGAAATCTGTTAAGAGATAGATGGAAAAGAAATTATAGAAAAATTTGTAAACATGAAATGGGGGGGGGAAATGAAAAACTGTTAAAAAAATCAACAATTGTTTTCTTCAAAACTTCCTTCTCCTATACAAAAATAAAAAAAAAAGGGGGGGGGACGTGACTTCCAACTATTTTGCAGCCGGACGCTGGATAACCTTGCACCGCTGATGTAAAACTGAAAAGGGAGAGCTCTCAGCTTCTTCATTCATGCACTTCACAGGGTTAAAATTAATTTTTTGATGTCCGTTTTTTCATGATAATATTCGAAGTATTTTTTATAGACAGTAAAGAAGAATGCAGAATATACATAATTTTTGCTCATTAAAACCTTCTGGCTTTCTTGAAACATACTGGGGAGATTTGATTCCCTTATAAAGAGAAAAAATAAAGGTGACTGTTTCTAAAATTCCTTTTCTTTCTTTAACACAATTTTTTTTCCCTCTCCATTTCTTAAAGATGTTCCGTCATTGCTTTAGCAATGTAATGTTTTATTAAACCTTAATTTATGAAATATATCACGAACATATTTCCTAACAATATAATACTATTTTTTTTTAAGAAAGGTTTAAAAGGAAGACTTATTATTCTGATCTTGTGGGGTGCAAAACAGTCAAGCATTGGAAAATTCGCATAGCATCAAAGACAGAGGAAAAGTCAAAAGTTTAAATTCACAGTAAAGTATCGGGTGGGATATACAAAAGGCGATTTTGAAGTTTTTGTTTATACAATCTATTAAGAATCACAATTCGTAAATTTTTCCATTTAAAAAAAAAAATATATATTATTTAGATCTAAAAATTTTAAAACTGATTTCTGTTCTGAAAAAAAAAAAAAAAAAAAAAAAAAACACTCAGAAAAGTGAAACATTAAGAAAGTTTCTTAATGATATTAAAATTCACTTCAAGAAAGCCCACAGTGAAAAGAAAAATGATTTTTAGCACAGTAATTTCTGTTAAAATTAGTTGTCAGACGAAAGTGAGTTTTTAAATAGGCTTCAGACTTGATTTACTAAAAGAGATCAAAGCACACTATTGATTTTTGCATATTTCGCACCTCAAATTTTTCTAAAATTTTCATCATTTCATTAAACCATTATAATGTATTTGTAAAATAAACATGATTCTGGTTAATGCTGTCTTTCATAGTGTAACAGTTTTAACAATCGCTTTGTCCCAATTAATTTGCACACTATAGCATTTGCTTTATAACAAGACCTGTTTACCAAATAATATCTTGTTCACTTACAGTATTTCAGAAATTATAACAAATACAAAAAATTTTTTCCCCATTTTTTTTAGCTGAAATCTATTTAATAATTCTATTTTAAAAGATCTGACTCACTATTCATTATTTATCTTTGAAATTAATTCCAAATTTTATTAATATACAGTATCAGTAAACTGATATATCACATTTCTACTTCAGCACTTTTTTGCTAGAAACATTAAGAGACTTGAACAAGGTGAACAATTACGCAAAGTATAATTTTTATAAATGACAGTCATCTCTAACATAACCATGCATAAAGAAGACAAAAATTGCCCAAACCATGTGTGAAACTTTTCTTTGAAACCTTCGAAAATATGTATATTGAAATATCATCTAAGTGTCCAACAACTCATTGTAAACACAATGCTTAATAATTCACAAATAAATCAAGTGAAATAATATTTTCTGTACACTTTTTTATTTCATATAAAACTATTTTACACAATAATCTTACAGAAAAAGATTTTCAGTTCGTTGCTGATTCTTCATTTGTTTCCCTAGCATCTGTTGTTTCAACTTTTGGTTTTTTAACAGCAGGTTCAGATAAGTCCTTCTTTAGAAGCTTCTTTTCGAATTTCCTCTTTTTCAAACCTTTCATTTTCCTTGTCTGTAACTTGGAATAATCTTGTCTTTCCATATGAATGCGGCCATGAGTTGATCCAAAGACATCTTTCTTTACATTCTTTACTTTCTTGGGCTATAACAAGCACAAAAAGTTAGCCAATTTAAGCATTTAAAGATCAATTCAGTTTTCCCCCCTACACAGTCATATGCAGAATAACATTATAACATACTGAACTACAACCAAGCATTACTGATTGTTGCTGCAAATGACTGTGATATTATATAAAATAAAAAGCTATTTTTAGATTTGAGTTACATATCTGTAAAATGACAAAATCTAGTAATTTTACAGAACAGAAACATCATCACTATGATTTGTAAGAACTGTATTTCAATGATAATTGCAAAGTGAACAACAGTAAATCAATTATTTATCAAGAATATAGAAAGGAATCAATTAAAAATTGCTGAATTGTATTATTTTTAACTCTTGGTGACATGTATGATTCAACATTCCCGTTACAAATATCTTTTGTTATATTTTACTTGAATGGCAATATTTTGAATAAAAGAGTAAATAAACATAAGGCTGCTCCTTGCTCCCAAAGAAAATACAACGGAGCAAGAATTTTAATTATAAGATTAAATTCATTTTACTAACACCCAGGTTTAAAATTTTTGCACAAGAGAATATAATCTCTAAATTATAAACACAAAAGCAGACTATCATTAGCAGGTCTGCTAAAAATCTGCTTTATAATGAAAGATACGAGAAGAAGAAATTATGAAATGTAAACTATTAACATAACAGTTCTTTCAGTTACTCAAATGTCTTATATCAGCAATCACTATTTGAAATTTACTGAATTTACTCAGTGTGGGATTATCGAAAATCAGAATGTATAAGATAACAATAACAAAATTAAGGCTAGAAAAGAATGGATTCTAAAATTAATCTATCTCAAATTAAGTGAAAAGTTTAAACTTTCCATTAAAAAAACTGCTCTGTTTTGCATTAAACTCTGTTAAATATTTATTACAAGCAACTATACAACTAACTTCAAATCTGGCTTAAAGTTCTGTTACAACTAGATTATTAGGTTTATGGCAAAGCATGCAAGGACTGATTACCTAAGATGAGGGATGCCTTTATGAAAAGAAATTCTGTAATTCTAAAATTAATTTATTTATTTTTCAAAAGACTGCACAGATATGCAAGTCTATATATATACTGTTATGAAATTTGAAGCATACTGAAATGGGTGCTCTTCAAAAACGTTCTTGAGGTAGATGCCAAATCCACTACTATGCATAGCTTCAGTTTCAGGTGAACTTCAACTTTTTAACCATTCAGCCATTTTTGGATACACAACACTTTTCATTTAATAATTTTCAAAGAAAAACGAATTTAAAACAAAATTCATACTCAAACTGTAAAGCTGTAAAGAAAGAGAACTACATGCCTGATTTCATAAGTTACTCAATAATGAAAACATAATTGGCTACCAAATGTGTTATACGATACATGATGACATATGGGATGCATGAGGTATCAAATAATATGACAGATGTGAGCTAGACTAGTCACTATTAATTACTGTCCTTTTGTGTAGATTTAAGTCAATGATGGCGACATCAGAAATCTTTCCAGTTTCTTCCCTTTCATTTAATGGCAACTTTACGGTAACATGGCCATTTGTCTGAGGCACCATCAAGAATCTTCCCCTCTCAAATGAAAATAATAAATATAATTTTTCTAAATCTGATGTTTTAAACAATTTTCTGTCTAAGGTGGGTTCAACTTCTAATACTGAGCTAAAACACTTTTTTATTGGCTTTTACTTCTTCCATATAATGAATGACCTTAAAAAAATATAGCGATAGCGACATCGAAACTCTGTTACACTAGAATCAGCTGCTTGTTTTTGAGGGTGCTCTTGTGTTTTTTGTTCTGTTTTCTATCACTTGCAACAATCTACTGTAGCATTTTTATTAGTTTTCTGTAGACAATTTAGACTTATTTCATTTTTTTTTTTACTCCTAAAATTGAGAAATGTGCCCCCCCAAATTATCCAAGACTATGACATCTTCAACAAGAAGAAACAGTCAAGAAACATCCAGAGGATCTATTTTGTTTTAGTTCTAAATCAAACAATGGGAATAATGCAGGCTGAACGTCTTCCGCTACATACATATATGTCCAGATCTGTCATCTAAAGATCGTACGGTCAAACCTACTAAAAATATTTTATGAAGAAAATAAAAACTACATGCAAAAATTAAGAGACTACGATCACAACTGTAGTATGGTTGAAGGCTTAGATAATAATGTTACACAACCAGGAATATTGGGAATGTTGGGCAATAAGTTGAAAGCTGAGCCAAAATGTCAACTACAATGATCCAATATACTGGCCACATGAATTACCATCAAGTGAAATCCAATAAGTGATGAATTACAATAATAAGTGATCATATCATTTATAACCAGATAAAAGTGATCATAATATGAATGGGCCAGATTCAATTAATAGTGTGGTTTTCTCAAATATGCAAATACAGTCAAAAGTCGCTAATTTGGACACCCATAATCCGGACCTCAAAGCTACAAACTTTCTGTGCATGCGTCACGTTGACTCATGAGCATAGGTGTTTAGCATGCGCGTAAGACCTTTACGGCTGCGCATGTGCATAATATGTTTACGCATGTGCGTTTAATGTTTTACGGAAGGTATAAGCTAAGCTCAAATTATCTAATTCAGTTAATGTTGCGGATTGCGTTGTTCTTTAATTGGATCCAGCTTATTATTTTTTGCAGGCTGTTAGAGCAATTTTATAAAAGTAAGCTTGAACTTTCGATTATGTCAAATAGAATTTCCGATATATATTTACAAATATGTAAAGGATCTACAAAGTGAAAGTATGTTTCGATGTCCATCAAACAAAAAGTACAATTGCTGGAAAAAATGGATAAAGGCAATTCCTTTGTTTCTCTAACCATTCCAAAATCTTAAAATCAAAAAATTATCAATTTCATGCTGGGGGACGCCGCGTGCGTGCAATGAATTGAAAGTTGATCTGTCAGAACTATCCTTATCTTCAGGGCAGATGTTTTTATTTTACTTTTTTAATTTTATTTGGCTTATAATTTCTTACTAAATGTAGCATTTCATCTCGATGTACTCCGTTTTTGATATGATTTAAATCAAATTCCTCGTCATTATAATTCGCTTCCAACAGTGAAGAAAGTGACACACAGGTTATTGAAAATGAAAAAATTTCGATTGACAAATTAGTCGGTATTCTCGACACAGCAATTATAGGACTTGAACAGCGGAACTTTAACTGAACAAGAAATTATGTCTGTTTATAGAATTAAAGAGAAAGTATTATCACATAAAACGAAGCAACTTAAACAAACTTACTTGAAAGAAATGTTTAATAAAGTACACAAATAAATTTTTTTTTTTTTTTTTTTTTTTTTTTTTTTTTTTTTGTAATTTTTTGATACCCTTTAGATCATAATTGTTCTTTATTTCATAAATTAACGGTTTTCATATTTTTTAATTTTATAATTTCTGCATGCATCTTACCAGATTTAAACTGATGATCTATAATCCGGAAAAATCGATAATCCGGAATCGCCGAAGTCCCGACGAGTCCAGATTAACGACTTTTGACTTTAAACATAATTTGTCTGTGATATTGATGCATAAGAAAATAGGCAATGATGAAAATTTTACTAGAAGGTGCCTTACTTATTCAAAGCAGCACCAATAAAATTTGTTGCTTTTGTTGCAGAATTTTTGACTTCCCTAATGAGCCAGTGTTAAGGAAAGCTGAAATTAATAACTGGAAACATGCTCATGAATACTTAGTTACATGAACATTCATTATATCTCCTTGAACGTGTAAAGAAATGGTTTCAAAGATCACTGCATTTACAAACTAATAAAATTATTGATAAAAGAATGAGGACAGCGGTGAAAAGTTTTCGAACGTTTAATGAGTATCACTTAGTATTTAGGTGGATGCTACAAGGTTTTCAGAGGAACTTCAGGTATATTATTTACACCACACAATGGCATAGATGTGAACCTTGAAATCTTAAAATTGGGCGATTTTTGTGAGAAACAGGGAGGGTTCACATTGTGCAGTAACACCATTTTGAAGGAACTCCAAAGTTACTTTATTTTAGTGATAATGCATAATTCATGTTATTTAATTACTTGTAATACAATTTTGATGTAAAATATATTAGTATTTAAAAAGATATTCTAATTTTATGTTTTGTTGCTAGCTTAATTCTAAAATTTTATACTTTCATATGGAGAAAATACCATTTAGTGAAGTTAGTTTTATTTATTAGAGTATTTTTAAAGACATTGAAAATAAAATTCATAATTAATGTACATAATATTTGTGTGAATAAATTTAGTAATGTACTATATATTGAAATAAAATAAAATACAAATATTAAATTATTAAGCATTGTTTGAATCTTCATATAAAAATCTACAAATGTATACAGTAGATTAAGACAATTCAGATCAAATAAAATGAAGAAAAATTAAATAAACTATTAAATGAACTAAACTAAAATTATTAATTAACTAAGTCTTATAAAAATGCTTATGGTTATTTGTGTGTCAAAACAGATTGAATTCTTCAGCAGTTTGGTTCTCTAGAACAGTGCTCCGCAACCTTTTCTCACCTGCGACGCACAAAAAATCTTTCTGGAATTTCGTGGCACACCAAAAGCTAATGTATATATGTATTGATTTATACACAAAAGTTTTTGAGTTCCGAGTTATCAAGGAAGTGCCGAAAAAATTCAAATGCTGACACACTTACAATCACACACACAACCACACAACAGTGAAATATATAAAAACATTTAAAATAGACATTATTAAGGAAAAAAAAAAATTGTCATTGTGTATTAAATACATGATAAAAAATTGCAAAATGTCAAACACATGTATTTGGTTGTGGCACACCTATATCCTACTAATGGCACACCAATGTGCCGCAGCACACCGGTTGCGAAGCACTGCTCTAGAATACGATACTGTACAGAAAATATCATGAAAAGATCTTCTGATCTAAAGGCTAGACATTACTGTTATTGTTCTTTCAAGACTGGCATCAGCCTGACTGCTATAACTAGATCATCACTGAAAAAATTATGCTAACGGCTTTTGACGTGAAAATATAAAAAGCATAGAAAGCCACCTAGAAGTTGAAAAATCAGAAAAACTTGATGATGTTCAAAAACTAAAGGATGTTTTAGATATGTATAAATACAAAAAATATTGACTGTATGTAAAAAAAAAAAAAAAAAAAAACTATGGAGATGAATTCATTGATACAGTTTTAGTTCCCCCCCCCTTTTGAAAATTTTTATAATTATACTTAAAAAAGACACCAAAGTTCAATCAGCTTAGGGTGCTAGCAACCATACAGATAGCCCTGATCCCATATATGCAATAGCACTTTTGAGGATCGTTCATTGTCTAATCAGCTTCTGGTACCTCTCACCCTAAATGTGAATGTTTATTTCTTTCAATGTTCTTGTCTATCAATACATATATAGTCATAGGCACTGTGCTGTAATACCTTTCATGAAGTATTCTGGTATGGCTTTAGCATCATGAAGGAAAGTTTAATGTGCAAATAATTTAAGAGACTGAATAATACATTCATTAGGTTTGAATTAACATTCTACATTCAAATTCCCACTAGTTGCTACAATCAGATTAGAAACTGTTTTGCAAGAGTAACAAATTATAAATGACAATACTCTTTAAACAGTAATATCTAAAAATTTGCATACTGCTGTTCTAGGACTTCTGCCATTTGAGTATACACACCAGGATTAAAAATGTCCAGATATTTCATTGTATTAAACATAAAGATACATAATCTGAAAGTTTATGGAAACCCAAAACATGCTTGCATTACTCTTACTTAGAATTTTTTTTAAATAGGCAATGTGTATGTGAACTTTTTTTAAAGATAACTTCCAATCTTTTGGGCTAATATTTTAGAAAATAAAAATATTTACCTTTAGTTGTTTAGGCTTTTTACAAGCTCGTTTGAATAGATCTTCGGATGCTAATTTGTTTCTACGAAGAGTAAAGTTCATATGTGGTCCGATTTCTTCTAATTCAACATTGGGAGATTTGGTATCGGATTTCTTCAGAGAAACTCTAAAAATGAAAGTAATAAAATTGGAAACATTAATGAAATTATTAAAAATTTAATAAAAAATTAATTTTTTAAAATGGATTGACAATTAATCACACTTATGATACATATTTAATAGGTTTTGCATTAACTCCTTTTTGATTTTCAGAGACTTTACTTACAAATTTTTATAATCACATAAATTTGGAGGCATCAATTATAATTTTACTTAAATAAAATAAAATGAATACATACCGATAACTTCTAAACAGTATTTTTCCGTTTACAACTGAAAATACTAGTAAATGTTCTAAGCCCTGGAGATTTATATATTCAACAACAGGTCCTCGAAAGAAGTCTGAAAATAAAAAGGTGACATGCACTTATATTATAACAGAAATCAGCCAAAAATGGTACTATAAGAAGGCCAAATTTAAAGAATGACCTTACAAACTGGATGGAGGAGAAACAAGGAAATGGCTATTTTAACAATAATAATAAAAAAATTGATAAAAATTTGATCCAGCAAAATTTATGGCATAATAAATAACTATAAATGATTTCAAATGATGGTTTTGCTGAAGCAGCACATTTATGAAGAGAAAAATTTCTATGTGTACCACACAACAATTACCAATGAACTGGCAGGATAATAAAACATCATTTCTAAAATATGCAAAGAGCAAACAATTCTACCAAAAATAATAAATGTAATTAAACACCATTAGCTTTTGACTCACTTGCAAACAGAACTGACTGTTGATGAAACTGATGCAGAAACATTTCATGCTTACGATACGGGATGAAAGAAGTTCATTTGCATGTTGTTAGCTTGTGACACAAACGATGACAAGCTAAAGTGAATGATCATTTTTAAAAGAAAAACTATTTTGAAGGGAGATTATTTGTGCAAATGAGAATGGATGGTTGTGCGAAACAATCATGCATGAGTGGCTACAAAAACTGTCAGTCTCATAACTGACATTTCTTCCAACCAAAAGGATTGTTCATAATGGATTCTGTGCATTTTCATTGATTCAGTGAAAACCAGGTATAAAAAATTATCTACAAACTTAGCAACAATTCCTGTTGGCTTGACAAAAGATTTTACAATTGGTCAATTTGTCAGTTAATAAATCCTTCGAAGCTGAAGTCCAAAAGCGATGAGAGTATTGGATGAGTGAAGGATTACACACTTATAACAAAAGTGGAAAAATGTATGTAGCATCTTATGAAGCAGCTGTAAAATGGGTAGATAGTGTGTGGAAATCTGTGAAAATGCCATCAATAATATTAGGATTCAAAGAAGCTGAAATTACATCCCTAGATAAAGAGACTGTAAAGCAAAAGGATGAATGTGACTTTCTGGCAGACTTAAGCTATTTAGATCTTAGGACTATTCAGGATTTGCTAAATCTTTTTAATTCAGATAATGAAGAATCAGGGTTCATATGGTGTACAGTTTCCTGCAGTTATATTTGTCAGAAAATGTAAAATTTTCTTCTGTCATTCAGTTTAATATTTTGTTGTATTTTTATAACACAATACGAGTATTACATATATAACATCTTTAGTTAAAAGTACATTTGTGAACGTAAGTATATTTTCAACATTTCACCTATAATTTATTTTATGGTTATGGTTTTATTTCATGCATTTTTCTCAACTGAAATGCCATATATCATGACAGAGGTCGAGATTTTGCAACTGCAACATTCATGGTGATGCCATGAGCAATTCAACTTAGAGTTATGTTTGGGCATTTTTTTTTTTTTCTTTTTTTTTGTGTGTGTGTGCCATTTTTCTCGAGAATGGCTGATGCAGCCTTTCTTCTGGAAGTTACGGTATTTGCATTATATTAGAGCTCAAATTTCATAAGAACTAAACTTTAGAAAATTTATTTTACACCTTCAAAGTAAAAAAAACTCGTTCTGCACATAACACTGCTAAATATTAATAGAAAAATTGGGGGGAAAGGAACCTTAATTCTCAAAACGCATGCTTAATGCTATGAAGATGATAGCATATCAACTCAAAACATGATTTTACAGTGAACCAGAGTAACATGAAACAGAACAAACAAAATATGCTCACAAGTGAAAACAATGATGAAAAGGTCTCCATTTCAATGAAATAAATTTAAGTACGCCATAACACCTGAGTTTAATCTTCTCACCAATGAATGCAATTCTTTTAGGATTTTCAGCGGTAAACTTTCCTTATTTATTTTACATTTAATAAAATTTACATAAAAATGTTGAACAGCCAGGCTAAGTATTTTAAGCAACACAGTCATTACTCTGAAATTTTAGCCATATTCAATACTTCAATAAGACTTCATTCAGAAATTTTCTGTTTAAATTAAATGTTAAATATTCTTTCAAAGTACTAAATGCAAAGGTTTGTAAGAATTAGAATATCACAAATGAAATTAACAATATGAAAAAAGAAATAGAAAAGGATATAACTACATTTTAAACAGTACACAAGTGAGAAATATAAAAAGATCATTTGGTTAAAAGATCTCAGAGAATCATTTAAAGTAACAACATCCACAAGAAGAAACTCCATATTAAATGGAATAAAGCCGAAATGCAATGAAAAATACCTAAGAATACAAGTAATTTGCGCGACTGCTCTTAAAGTTAGAAAACATTCTTTAAAGTTTTTAAATTAAAATGGAACATTCAAATCTCATTAAATATTTAAAAGCTTAAAATTTTACTCTTTTTTTGGTAATTTAATTTTAAAATTATAAATGTTTCAATTACAAATATTACTTTGTAGAGACTCCAAATCCCACTATCTTTTTTTTTTTTTTTTTTTTCTGGAAAGAATTTAGTATTCAGCATTGTGTTTAGCAGTGTTCACTCTTGAAATAATTTTCTGTCCTTTACATTTGCTTTAATTTAAATAAATTCTAGAAAACTATAAAAAAGATTTGAATATTTTTGGTCACATTCCCATTGAACTCAAACACTTTTTGTTAAATTATAATCAGGAAATGAATTTCAAGATTCAAAAGTTTTAATTACACACTTTATTTACTAAACTTCAAATGTAAATCCTCAATAAATACTGGTATATAACACATATTTCTTCTCAATATATCTACACAATTGTCTAATAATTAGACGATTGTGTATGACAAACACCAATTTATTAAAGAATTAAGCACATAAAAGAAGTAATAAAAGTGAGAGAGTTTTTTATATTTTTTTTATAGCTTCATTGCTAGTGCAAAGAGTTCCAGTCATAACTAATGTTTGTTGAGTCACCTGTAAAAAAAGGAATGTTTATATTTTGGTGAATCTTGCATCACATGACGTACGGCAGATGCTCTGCTTTAAGATTGACTTAAGCCATTAGTTACAGGTATATTTTTTAAAGTTGTATTCTTAAATTTACTTTTCCCATTTAACATAGATTTTAAATTTTGCTTTATTTTAAAATTTTTAATGTTAAATAAACGTTTTACCCCCCTTTTTTAAAAATTTTCCTCACATATAAAGGAGGCAAATGATTTGAGAATTTTTTATAAGACTCAAGTTTGAGAAAACTTAAGATTTGTTGCATGTCTACTTTTTACTATTCTGGTTAATTTTGTTTTAACTCTAACTGAAGCAAAATTTACATAAAGTGAAATCAAAAATTCAATACAGCAATTTTAATTTTGAAATAAAAGGTCAGCCAATAAAAAACTGCCATGATACAATACATATACAAACAAAGATTTAACTTTAAATTTTCATAAATATTTCAATTTACAAAGAAAATTTAGCTCTTTTTTATTAAAAGAATAACAATCGTAATTGTGTGCAGAAGTATCAAATGTGGTAGACTACTTATATCACATCAGAAACTGCAAATGACATTATTGTGAATAAGCAGGATGAATAAACACCAATACAGTAATTTTGCCTCTCGTTTTCTCTCAGATTGTCGGTTGTATTTTTGTCCAAATGCTGATCATTTTTGAAGAAAGAATCAAAGTGTTTCACAGTAATTTTATAAAAACAAAGACAATAATTAAAATACCTACCTATAAAAAAATTCTTCAATCTTTCATACTCAGGCTGATCCTCAAAGCCTTCTGTAAACAAAAGCATTGGCTTACAGCCACTTGCGATTTTTGCAGTCTGAAAATAAATTAATAATAATTTAATACATATTCCTTTTAAATATCTGATGCAGAAATATGACAATTTCTTATGAAATTCTTTACATGAACCTGAAAAATTTACATTGCTAATGATGATGAAAATCTTCATGAAAGAGAAAACATTTAATACAATTTTTAGTAAAAAACACGCATTTTATAACCAAATATATTTGGAACACCAAATTCATAATTTTCAAATTAAGTTTATGATAAAACTGCATAGAACCATTTTTATACAGACTAACTGAGGTGAACTCATTTCGAATATTACTCTACTTCAAAAGATGTAGAGTAAATATTTTTAGTAATTCATGGCAGATATGAATGTCTCTAACAATGTTAAATAAATGTATGTACCGGGTGCTAATAAAATAAGTACCTGTACTTGGAGCTATCTGTAGCTTGAAGAAATAATCCAAAATGAAACCAAAATTGGTACACTTACTAATGGAGAAGGAGAAAGAAGAATGGAATAATAATAATAATAATAAATTAGATGCAACAATCGCCAACAGATGGTCATGCCAATGCAAATGTTGTAATCATCAGCAAAATTAAAAAGTGGTCATTTCTGCCGGTAACATAGTTTAGTTTGCCAGTCATGCATTGGTTTTAAAACTATTTTGCATTAGCAGCTCAAATGCGGCAACTGCTTTATGTGAATTTAGGCGTATGAAAGGAATGTGTAAAGGTCTTTTGACACTGTGATCAGTGAGAAGAATGGTAAAAAAATTCGAGGAGATTGGATCGTTTGCTGTAAAATGTGCAAGGGGAAGAGGAAAACACTACCTCTCCCCATACAAGAAGAAATTGCCACTATAATTGTGGAATCATCAGGGACTCCAGAAGCTGATCCTAGTGCATGTGGAGTTGAATACTCAATATGCTACTGTTCGAAAAATCCTGAGAAAAGTAATCCAATTTTATCCATAAAAATTAGCCGTCATCAGCAATTGTTACCAGGTGAAATGCAGCAGAGATTGGAATTTGCTCTAACATTTGCAGCACAAATGGATGTGGATGATGCCTTTCCATGGAAGATTTTATTGGAAAATGAAGCCAACATTTATTTAGCCACCAAATGTTATTCAAGAAAACTCTTCCACTCTCCAAACCTCAAGCTGTGGTGTGGCTTTAAGGCAAGTTTCATTCTTGGTTCTTATTTTATACGGCCATCAGGACCTCTTATATGTTTGGTTACTGCATAATGTTGCACATATTGTTCGGTTATTGCATGTGTTGCAAACATTGTTACTGCATGTGTAGTTCCTCAAATGCAACAAAGACAGTATCTTACTGAAACAGTTTTTATGCAAGATGGTTCCCCCACCCCATATTGGTTGAGCAGTACAACAATTTTTATGACAATATTTCACAGAAGATAGAGTAATAAGCCTGTACTTTTGTATGCTGTGACCTACTTGATTCCTTGATCTGACGCCATGTGATTTTTGGCTTTAAGGATACTTAGAATCTAATGTGTACCATGGAAAAGTCGCAAACCTAAAAGATCACATACTACAACATGTGCGAAACATCACTCCCGACACATTACATTCTGCATTTGCGAACAATATGTACCACCTATGTTGTGTCTTCCAGCTCAATGCCATGAACTTGATAGGCATCGAAATGCGCAAGCGCAATCACATTATCTGTAGCATTTTTCAATAAATTAGGTATGCCATCTGGTTTTACATTTTAATTTTTTCCTTGTATTACACATTATACATTCAACAGCGCCATCTGTCTGCGATAGTCGCAATGAATTTTTTAAAATGATTCCATTCTTCTTGCTCTTCTTGATTAGTAAGTGTACCGATTTTGGTTTCATCTGGATTATTCTTTCAAGCTGCAGACAGCTCCAAATAGAGATACTTATTTTATTTTATAACCACCTGGTATTACAATATATCATTCTATCTATACTACTTATAATAATGAGTTATCTTTTACCCTTTCAGTTTTGCTTTGGCACTTGCTTGCAATACAAGTCTTGAGAAAAAAAAAAAAAAAAAAAACCTAGGTTTTATAAAAAATTAAAGCCACAAATTTTTCACACACATTTCGGGATAACATTTTTACATATATTTTGCATAAAATAGGCATCAGTGTTTCTTTTTAAACCTTTTATTTATATTTAAAGGAAATAACACACATCTGGAATAGAGACATATACAGTCAAAAGTCTTTAATCCGGACTTGTTGGGACTTCGGTGATTCCGGATTATCGGTTTTTCTGGATTATAGATCATCAATTTAAATCTGGTAAGATGGCATGCAGAAATTATAAAATTAAAAATATGAAACTGTAATTTATGAAATAAAGAGCAATTATGATCTAAAGCGTATCAAAATTTAAAAAAAAAAAAAAAAAAAAAAAAAAAAAACTTAATATTTATTTGTTTATTTTATTAAACATTTTTTTCAACGCGCACATGCATAAAGCATACATTACGCATAGTCTTAGAAAATTGCAACCAGAAAACTATTTGATGTGTATTTGTGATATTTATATTGACTAGGAATTTGATTTAAATCATATCAAAGATGGAGTACATTGAGATGAAATACTACATTTAGTAAGGAATTATAAGCTGAATAAAATAAAAACATCTGCCCTGAAGATAAGGATAGTGCTGACAGATCAACGTCCAGTTCATTGCATGCCTCGACGTCCCCCCCCCCCGCAGAGCAGCGTGAAATTGATAAACAGATTTCGGAATGGTTAGAGAAACAAAGGATATGACTTTATCCATTTTTTGCAGCAATTCCACTTTTTGTTTGATGGCCATCGAAACATGCTTTCGCTTTGTAGATCCTTTGGCAGCTCCAGAATTGAAATTCTTTTTGATATAATCGAAAGTTCAAGCTTACTTTTATAAAATTGCTCTAACAGTCTGAAAAAAATTTAAGCCGGATCCAATTCGAAGATTAAGGAACAACGCCATCTGCAACATTAACTGAAATAGATAATTTTACCTTAGCTTATACCGTCCGTTATACATTAAATGTGGATGCATAAACGTATTATGCGCATGCGTAAATGTATTATGCGCATACATAAACACATTATGCGTTTACGCATGCACAGAAAGTATGTAGCTTTTAGGTCCGGATTATAGACTGTATATGTTAAATTATTCCTTCTATTAAAATTATCACTGTTAAATTGCTGTACAAAAGCCACCATTCTTTTCCCATTTTACAACTCTGAAGCGTAGCTTTAATTGCATCTAATGCTATTCAGTTAAACCGTTCACATGCATAGTTTTCTTCTGGGGTGTATGCATTTGTTTGCACAACACTATTTCTACTTTCAGGTAATGCCTTTGAATTGCCTGTTACAGAATTCACCACCGTTAATGGTACTCATACTAATTACTTTTCTATTTCTTGATTTTTCCATTTACTTAAGATATTGTTTAAAGATACTGAATGATTCATTTTTGTTTTTAATACAATATACAGTTATTAATCTATTATAGTCATCTATGATAGCAAGGATAAATTTCCTCCTCCCCCTCCCGATGGAAGTGAAGCAGGCTACAAACATTGAAATTAACCAACTGCAATGGTTATTGGATCTCTTTGGAATGGATTTGAGATATTCTACTAGATTTAGCAATAATACAGGTTTGCATTTTCCATTGATTCTTCGATTTCGGGTAGCTTTTTCAAGCTTTGATTTTTACTAGCATTCTGAATATAATAAAAATTTATGAGGCAAATTTTCTATGCCATATTTTTGTATCATCTACATTAATTAACTTTCCCGTTTCCATACCCCAAACAGCTTTCTTTTTATCTATTGCATACCTAAGTGGTTTTATGTCATAGAGTCTATTGTACTGTTTGGCATAATATAATCTACTCCAATCAAATTCCTGCAGCTGTAGACATACGTACATCATTAATTTCTTCAAAATTTATCATTACATTTCTATTAATGTAGAAATAGGTTGTAGCTCCTGCATCTATGACTCAATTAAATTTATCCGCATTACCTCCTTTATATGATGTTGAAACAATGTTCTACTAACATTAATTCTTTACCTTTAAACTGTCCCTTTTCATCATCTAGTTTAAACTTCTGGTTTTTATTCTAATTTTCTTTACACTCCACTATTAAGTGTCCAAATTTATGACATCTATGACAAGGTCCTATCTTCGTATTTCCTATTTTTTTCTTAAATTTATAGTAATTTTATACTTTATACTTTTACCCTGCATTTGTGCTAACAGCATTAAATATGCTTACCTTGCTGTCTTCTCAATTAGCATGTACCTGACAAAGTCTACTTTCTTCCCTTACTCTTCAGTGATTTTTTCCAACATAAAATCCTTGCCCCTCCACCTATAAATCTATTGTACAATCCCGGAGTAAATGCCAAATTGCATGAAATCCTTTAAAAAGATTTGCTAAGTTGTATTTAGCTTATTTGCAGTAAGTTTTATCCTCATGATGAATAAACCCATTTCCTCATCTAGTGTATGCCTAATGCTGAAAAATTCATTAAGTAGCTGGATTACTATTTCTCTTGTTCTTGGTTCAAATTACGTCTGCCGAACCTCTTATGCTTTTCTACCACTTGGACCTTCTTTAACACTGATCCTGCTTTTCACGTTTTACTGCACTTCAATCCAATTAATCTTCTTTACCTTCTATGAAGCTCCAATTTCTATCTAGCAACAGCAACTTTATATCGATTTCCCATCAATTCCAGTTGTCATGTTTTAACAGTCCAAACTCCTCTGGTATCTTCTGTTACAGGTAAGCCCACAGCTTGAACCAACTTCTAAAATATGTTTGCCTTCTTGTCTTCGCTTTTCATAAATAACTGATTACGTTCTTTTAATGCTAAGTTGCTGGGCGGAAAAACCTATTAGGATCTTTCAATCAAAAGTTTGTTACAGTTTTAAAAAATAAAAAATTGATAATAAGACAAATTCCAAATTTGGGCTTTCAGATGTCCA